GGCAGGGAGCCTTTTTAGTAAAGTAAGGGTCTGGCATGACTACCCACCAACTATGGAATTACTTATTCTTATGGTCTTAGCAGTTCTTGCAGGCAAAAGGACAATGTTGTCGGTCATGGTCAGTGTAGACCAGTGTTTCTCAACCTTGGCAACTTTAAGATGTGTGGACTTCAACTCCCAGGATTCCCCACCCAGCCATTCAGGCTAGGGAATCCTGGGCATTGAATTCCACATATCTTAAATTTGCCAAGGTTGAGAAACACTGTTCTACACTGACCATGACTGACAACATTGTCCTTTTGCCTGCAAGAACTGCTAAGACCATAAGAATAAGTAATTCCATAGTTGGTGGGTAGTCATGCCAGACCCTTACTTTACTAAAAAGGCTCCCTGCCTCCTTCTATTTTTTTTTCTTAGTATATATCTCTTTGAGTTCAACATAATCAGATTAATGACTATCCAGAATTAGATTAGAATCTAAAAAGTCATAAAAATACTGAGATTTGTTAAAAGCGCTTTTTTAAAAAAGCATCAACAAATTGGCCATAAATCTCCTTCTCATCTTTTCTTGGAGCAGATTAATTAAATGCTGTTGAGCATCACCACCTCCACTGAGAGTGTCTGTACTTTTAATTACATGCTTAGATCTTCTCCAACTCATTCAGTACTCTTTAGCTAAAAGGAACACACCTACGTAACAGTCAGGAAGATCCATGATCCAACCCAAGTTTATTTTTTGATTGAGCTCAAGCTGCTTCAAGGATGATTGTTTGGATCCATTTTTTCAGCTCTTAACAATGTGCAAGCAAGCGGCATTCTCTAGCTATTGTTAGTGCAAATGGATGGCTTCAGTGATCCAGAAAAACATTGTTGAAGTAATCTTTGAACCAGCTCTTAAGGCCCCATAGGGAAATAAAGCTGCTCCTAATAAATGTAGCCCCTGAATCTCAACTGCACTCCTTTGATCATCTAGTTTTTGAAGGATGCCTCAGTACTGGGCTGGCTGTACCACATTATATAAGCAGGTAGCTTCTGCAGTTTCTGTTTGCTTAATATTTTGCATTTTTTGTGTGCTGATTAGAAGGAAATAAGGTTTGATTTTGCATCTTCCTTACTCAGGGACGTCTTATGAAATAAACGTTGAGTCAGGATGAACCTCTCCCACCCATAATTCTAGCAGGACTGGAACCAATGGGTGGAAATTGTAGGGAGCTCTTAAATGCAATCTGCAAGCCAACAGTTTCCACCCAGTTGTACTGGAACTAGTCACTGAGGGAGTTTCACTCTCTTCCCACCATCAGTTTTCGCAAGCTTTACTCAAGAAGAGCAAAGCTCCAACCTAGAGCCCTTGTTTTCCAACAACAAATAATGTAATTGGGATGGAAGCATCTTAATGCTTGGAAGGGCACATTTTTTAAAAACCCGTCTTTCAGACAGAATTCCACAGAATTGTCTGAGTTTTCCACAGTGAGCAACAGCTAGAATGAAGGATTGATTCCCAAATATAAATCACATTTTAATTACAACAAGAAGGCACTGTCTTTGTAAAAAGACTTCTTGCATGTATGTTTGATCATTCATAATCACTAGCATTCAAAATGCTCCTGATCAATGGTCATATTGTATGTTCACAACTTATTTTATTAGAGTGCTTGATTTTTATCTTTTTGGCCATCTCAAGGCAGCCTATGTACCTAATGCTCCCACCTCCTATTTCCATGCCCTCAATGGGATCATTAGCAATCATTCTGTGTGAATGAAGGTCTATCCCAACACTCTAGGATTCACTTTAGATACAAGCCCTGTTGGAATTGGGCTAATGGCTGGGTATGGTTGAAGTAACTGATCTGACTATCAGGTTTAACTTGTTCTTTCTGTGTAGAATAATCATTGTTCCCTTTTCAACAGAGTATTCTTGATCTTGAAAAAGAGAGACTCCTGCTTCTCTGCAATACGCTACATCGTTATAGCCAGCTTCTTTCTCATTTTGGACAAAGCCTCATTGCTGTATGTTAATTCCAAGTTCTTTTGCTCTGAATTAAATATTGCTAGAAAGTGTTCCCATGCCTGATCTTATTTGTCATTATCCTAGTGCCATGCAAAGGTTCACAACACTGTCACTGAAGCAGAAGTTGACGAGGACATGCAGATGTTAGTGAATGAAATGTCAGTAACCACCGCAGAGACAAAACTGGAGTTGTTGTTAACAGACTACTATGTAAGTGCACTGCCAAATTTCCTGTCCTCAGTAATGGAAGGAGTAATTTTTAAGGCAAGGACATGACTCTTCTGACTGGGATTCTGGAAGCTGGAATAAAGCACTTCTGGAAGACACCAGGGTGGATAAATTGCCATGGAGGTATAACCTGGCTGTGTTTGCACAACACATAACCATAAGGTAGCCAACTGTATTTTTTGTAGAGAGGAGTCCTGGTTGGAATCCTTCAGTTCATTCACAAGCACAGCATATGTGTGGGACAGCAGTGTCCATGGGGTAGGTGGAGTATCAAAATGTCAATATGGTGATCACAATGGTGCAATCCTTTGTATATGCACATGATGCCCACACATACAAAAGGGGCAAGACATTGACCACATGGTTGCAATTACCATTTTAATTTTTGCTTTACCCCACCCCTCCCCTCCCCTCCCCCATGGGTGTCCTGGTACACAAGTAGAACCCAAGCCATTTAGAGTATCTAGAATCAGAAGCTTAAAATCCCAAAAGACCTATAAACTGTATGTGCATTTCATGCTCCAATAGAAAGCCTTCATGGTGAACAAGAGATGGAAGTACTTTTCCCATTGGGAGTAGGCTGATAGGCAGAGCTTAAGAGAATTAGTCTTCCAATCAAGAGTATGAAGAACAGAGAGAAAAAGGAGAACAAAGAAGTTGTCATATGTATATATGTATTCTTAATGCTCTTAGTAATCAGTAGGATTAAAACTGGCCAGAATCTTTGCTTTTGGAGCTGTATCTCCAACACACATTTTAGTCTACTGTATTCTCAAACCCAGAAAGCGTGTCATGGTTCAGTGTGTTAAATGAACTCCAAAAGGTGTCCTGATTGAAAACACTATAACTATGGACAAAGTGTTGTGCCAACATAGAGCTTATATCTCAATGCATTCTATGGGAATCATGGTCTGGAAAGTCAATACCTTCAGCATCAATGGCCTAGTTTAATGCTTTATTTCCCTGACTTAAAGGAAAATATAGAAAGTAAACTCTACTTACAGGGGACTGAATAATAGCTATCATACCTGGACTACACTAATTCAGACCCCACCAGATGGCAGGAAAGAGTTACTTTTCTTTATCTCTATGATGCTTTCTAATGGTCATCCAGATTGTTGTAGCTCTAATCAAATATATTTTCTCCTCTGAAGGATGCAAGTCATCGACAAGCAGGTTCACTCCTGTCTATGTAGCTAAGTATTGTTCTGTCCATAGCCTTGACTCATGTTGAATGAAAGGCGTGGTTAAAACTCTTTCCCATGAAGTATGCCTGTCACACAGACAGACGTGAGCTTCTTGTGTAAGCTGGCCTTTTCAGGTGCAAACTTAGCAGCACCTGGGATCAGAGGGTACACTGCTAGCCTGATTAACTTTATACCTACATGGATCAGTGCCACACAGAATGCTTATCAGTAACACTTTATATATCCAATGTAAACCAGATCAAAGATGTATAAGAGTGTGATACCACAGTGGGACAAAACATTAAGAAATGCATTCTGTATTAAAGAAATCATTATGGGAACAGCCAGGATTTCAGTGTCACTATCTTTAATTGAAGAGGCTCAAGATTAACTACCATGTTCCAGTATTTTAATTAACCACATATTAATTCTTTAAAAGGGCCTACAGTATTTCAAATTCATTGTTTTAAGAAGTAGTCACATATCAACTTGGGGAAAAGCCATAAATGGTCATAGATTTCAATAAAATAAATTCTTACTGCCATAAGAAAATATACAAGACTAATAGAGAATTGCTTTTTTCAGCTTCCAACTTTTCATCCCAAATAATCTCAATTTTTATTTAATCTTTTATATGTTTTTTAAAATATACTATATATCCTTATCTGGAGTGTTCCCTTGTAACTCTTTGTGCAGTGCACAGTGCAAGTAACAGTTCTAGGAGCTAGTCTTGACTGTTACACCTTTGGGACCATATAGATGCGTGTCTGGCATCTTTTGGGATTTTGATTAAACTTTTAATCAGAAAGTGACACGATTTGTCTCCCTGGCACTAACTGAAGCAAAAGGTTGGGGCAGAGGAGAATGGACCCCCCGTAATGGAATCTTAAAAACTAGGAGCCTGATCTGTTGCCTTCCAATGATGCTTCCACGTACTTTGAAAACTAGTTATTTAGAGCCAAATTGGTAAAGTATGTTGGGGAGGGAGGGCATCTGTGATCTTCACCCTTGATAGTGGCTGTCAGCTCTGTCTGTCCACCTCCTTTTTTTCTAGCCAAGGGAATCTAACTCTTTCAGTCTAATGTCTGAAGCATTTCATAACTCATAAGGCTACTGAAAAATAAAGCAAATTGCCAGCTTGGCATGGTTTGTGCTAGCCATGTTGGTCTGTCAAGCCCAAACCAAAATTGAGTTGAGAACATTACCAAAGATATACTTCATACCCTGCCTGCATTTTAATCAAAACATGTTTATCTTGTTTTCCTCCCCCCCCCTTTTTTTTTTAATTATAAAAGGAAGAAGATCTGATGAGCCTAATTGAAAAAGAGAGGAGACAAACTGCCATTAAAGCTAAAATATTACGGGTACAAACAGACTTGGAGAAAGTCCTACAGGACAAAACAGGTTACCTCACACTTTCAGTACTTTATATTTCATCATTTACTCAAGGATAAGGTATATCTAGCTGGTACTTTTTCAGCTCCTCCAAAGTTAAGGAAGACCAAACTTTTAAAACTCTCACTTGATTAGTTCCCCTTGGATAATCTGTTTTATTGATAGCATTTATTGCAGGGGTTCTTAACCTTTTTGTGCCATGGACCCCTTTGAGAACCCATTGAAACCTACAGACATCTTCTCAGAAAAATGTATTTAAATGCATAAAATAAAATACATAGATATAGATTACATTACAAAGGAAACCAGTTCTGCTCATATAGTTATCAATATTTATTGTAAATATCTAATATAGTGATACATGAGTTTCTTTATTCAGTGCATTAAATCAATAAAAAGACAATACCCTTTTTTAGAGTATAATGTTAGATAATGAAATATATTGAAGTTAACATTTTTGGAATCTAGAGGCCATACATTACTTTCTTGCCTACATACATTATTGAACGAAAAGCTAGACTTAAGTTAGAGGTTAATAAAAAAATAATGTAATTTTTTTCCCCATCCAAGCTCACGGATCCCCAAGGGGTCCAAGGTCAAAAACCCCTGGTTTACAGCATGGGCTCATCCAACTTTTTAATACTCAGATGGAACAGGAACTTTCCCAATACTTACAGAGATTTGAGGATGTATGGTAGGAATGCAAGTAATATCTTCAATTTGAAACAGCCTTTTCAAATATTCTAAGGTTAAAATATAACATATGGGTTCCTAAAGCTTGTCTGAAGATTAAAGAGGACCCAGTGAAAACTGGGTATGTTTGAACAATATTCCTTTTGACTGCTACTTCTACTCTTGAAAGTAAATGAGTACCATTGTGTACAATCTAATGTTGTTTCTGTTCCTTTTTAATAGCATGTCTGCTGCTTTATTCTAACGTTATATATTGTGTTGGGAACTTAAAGGGTTTTAAAAAATAGCATTTTAAGATAAATAACTTGGGAATTTGCTAATGGTGCTATAACTTATCACAGTTGATTTCCAGGATGATTTAAAACTTTACGAAGAATGAACAAATCCTTGTATTTATATTTTTTAAAGGCCTAGAACGGATGCTTCAGGCTTACAAAGAAACCCCACAGTTTTCAGATGCAAAGAATATAAATGATATCACCGCACAACTTAGTGAGGTACGCTGGAAATGAATATACATTTTACATTTTTAATACCTATATTACTTAGCTTTTGTTTAGCTAAAATGCAACCTTCAGTTTTAATCCTTTGGCTGTCTTCAGAGGTGCACCTCTAGGTGTCCCCATCAAATGAAATTAGATTGGTAACTACAGAGAAGGCAGCCTTTCCATTCTGGGGCTTGGAATGCCCTTCCAAGGCACCTTCCACTAGTTTCAGCTTCAGGTTAAGTGCTTTTCCCAAGCATGCTTACCTTTGCTTCTTTACGTTTTAGTTTTCAACTATTTTGCCTTGTACTTCTTACTCTTACTTTTTAAAAGCTTTACAAGCTAATCACAAACAAATTAAAAATACAGTGAAATGAACAAGTGAATAAGGTTGAAATGTTCAGGATCAATGTCCTCTTTTATTAGATTCATTGGCTAGATTTGGAATAAAATAACCTGCCAAACTCATTTTGTTAATGCTATTTGAGCTTTACTTTAGGACAATATAGTAAGAGAAAACAAGTACAGGTAGTCCTCGTTTAGCAACTGCCTTGGATAGTGACCGTTTTGCAGTTACAATGGTAATGAAAAAGTAACTTTGTGACCAATCCTTGCATTTATGACCTTCGCCGGCCTCTCTCTCTCTGTCACGTGTTCACCATTGCAGTCAGTCAGTACAGTATCACATTGTCTTGTGCCTGGCCCTTTTTTTCTCTTTTTTTCCTCCTCGCAGAGCGGAGATTGCCCAAACAAACTATCTCTTCCTGAGCTGCTTTTCTCTGCAGTGCAGTGTATCCCTAAAAAATGCTAACCGCAAGATAACAAGCTCAGCTCTGGGGCCTTAATTAGCAAGCTCGCAGCTGCTGACCACGACTGATAAAACTTTAATCAGTTCCCCACCTTCTGCTTTTGTTTGCCTCCTAAACTGCCTGGGGCTGACAGGAGTGTGCTAGACAAACACTAGCACATTCCTTTTAATGTGTATTCCCCATTGTGTGCCTGCTTACTCTCTTGTAATCCCTTCCTCTCCAATGAATGTAAATATAAATATCAATTCCCTTCTTGCTAATTATCTCAGCATCAGGGCGGGCATTCCAAAGGGCGGAAGAGTGGGGGGAAAGGCTTTAAGATTTGCCCTTTTACTCAGCTTCCTCATGAGTTGAATTCCAGAAACATTCCCCACCATTTGGGCTCACCCGGCTGTTTCGGGTTGTATCCTTCTAGCACTATAAAGCAAAGGAAAGCTGAAGTAAAGTCACAAGCGCAGTTGTGGGCATGTGATTTTTCACTTAGCGACCACTTTGCTTAACAACCGAGTTGCCGGTCCCAATTGCAGTCACTAAATGAGGGCTACCTGCATTTTGAAACTAGATTTAGTTTCAGTCTCTCCCACTGCCCCAAAGAATCACAACTGAAAAAAAAAAACTTTGCATCAAAATACTTGTTATTTACACATATTTAAAAATATATATTAAAGGCAACTCTGAAAGCTGCCCTTCTGCGAGCAAACCATTTCAAGTTGGGGAGTGTGCTAGCTGAAATTGAAGAAAGGCCTAAACCATCTTGTCTCTGGAATGACATTTCAAAATGGAAAGAAAAGGTAATATTAAGAGTTATGGTACTGCATGTCCATAAGATGATTCTAGAGATCAGATGGATACATCTATAACCTAATTCATATAGCTAAGTAATGGAAATCAGATGTTATTGTTGCTAATTCTAAACCCACCTGAATGCGGAGAATCAGAAATGGCCCGGTCTCAGCATTAACTCTTGGTTACTTATTAGCCTCTTGAAGGTGGTTACATCTTGGTGTGTACCCACCATGTCAGTTATTATATTACATGTGCTCAGGTTTGGCTGGAGTCTGTAAATGAAGTTTATAATCCCCAAATCCCTTCTGGATGATTTTATTGCCTTGTCAATATTTACTTGATTTTTATGCCACCATTATGAAGTTTATACTACCCTGATCGCTAATCTTAATAACTTTTTCACACATGTGTAGCCAGAGCAAGTATTGTAACGTTTTTAATATTGTTTTTAGTCAAAATTCTTTGCATGTCTTTCTCCTAACTATTCTGATATTGTCAATTCATATTTCCTTTGTGCTGACTAATAACTACAATAAAGTCTTTCATTTCATTTCATTGTTGCCAATAACCTATCTTCCTAATAAGGGCAAAAACCATTAAAAAGCCAGTTTTGTTCTTCCCAGTCTCTTGAAGCATGTTTAGTTTTTCAAGCACTCACACAACATGGCTGCCATGGTGGATTTGTCCAGTCACAAAAGCCCCATTTCTTCAAAGGGAAACTGGTGAGGACTTTTCCCCCCTTCCAAACTAAGTATTGAGGTGCAGCCCTTCACATTTTTTATTCCTAAGGATGCTTTTGAGGCCATGCAACTCCCAGGAACATTTCTGGAAATGGAGTGAATGTTGAAGGCTGATGATTTGCATTGCAGCATACCAGATTTCTATTTATTTAATGTTATAGATTCTTTTAACATGTAAAGCTAGATGAGCTTGGAAGTGTCCACAGATCCCAAAAGACACATCCATCCACCCCCTCTTCTACATCTTGATACCATAGGTATGACTGGAAAAATCCTCCAGGAAAGGATCCCTGACTAGTTCTGTACCCTAATAATGAATTTTCTTTAAGCTTCCATCTCCTCTCCCCACCCCACCCCACCCCCCAAGCATACAGGACAAAACCAACAATTAAGAGAGAGATCGTAATACACAGTGCAGCACATGAAGATGCAGTGTTATTAAGAATAGAATGTTATCAAAAGCTGATCCAGGAAAGTTCCAGTTTCTCAAGAGTAACGCATAGAGGGGGAGACAAGTATCGCACAATACATGGCCAACATACATGTAGGGACTTTACTCAGTCAGCTCTTGCTTCTGCGCTTGGAGGTGGCAAGTTTTTGCCTGCTGTGCTACATATCAGGATGGTTGCAGAGCTGCAGGTCAAAAACAGGACAGTAGCCTTCAGATGAAAGCTCTTCTGAACCAGGATCCTCTTTAGAATATCTTCCGACATCTTCTTTCCAATCAGCAATAACATTGTGGTTAAATCCTGTGGCATCCAGGATGATTACTTTAAATGTTTGGAGAATTAGAACTTAATCTGTTGTGGTTTTTTACAGGATTATTAACCAACAGAAATCTAGGTTGAACATTTAATAGCCAAAGATAAGCAATACTATTTTCCTTTCCCTAAAATATTAGGACTGTGTACATAGTTCTGTGACAATCACTTGCCCTGTTACAATGAGGAGCATTAAGCAGACCTTGAAAACAAGGACCACCAGTGAAGCTGGGATTAGCTCAAGCTGTCTGCCAGGTAACGTTATCCATTATTTACTAGGCCAACATATATTCTTCCTTCTCTCTCTCTCTCTCTCCTTTTTGGGGCCTCTGAGACAGTTTTTAACTCCTGGTGACTGCCTGGACAAGTCCCTGCAGTTTTCTTGGCAAGGTTTTTCAGAAGTGGTCTGCCCTTGCCTCCTTCCTAGTGACTGGCCCAAGGTCACCCAGCTGACTTCATGCCCTAGGCGGGACTAGAACTCATGGTCTCCCGGTTTCTAGTCTAATACCTTCACCACTACCCCAAACTGGCTTTCTCTCTCTCATAATTACACAAGTGGAAAAAGGTCCTTATTCTATCAAGGAAATATTAGAAAGCTAGGCATCAAATAATAAGAGAATCCACAGTTTATATCTGAATTACAGGATTTTTTTGGTCAAATATAGCTAAGTTTGTTGGTAGATTCCTCGGACCCCTCATTATCCCTGTTAATTCTTCCCCACTCAGTTGTTCCTTGACTGCAAAGCTAACTATATTCTACAGGTAGTCCCTGGGTTCAGAACGTCCGGGATACAGATGACACATAGTTAAGAATGGAGCCTTTTGTAGCAAAATTTGAAATACACAATGATTCGAGCTAAGTACACGATTTGAGTCAAATACACAATGCTTCGAGTTCATTACACAATACTACTTATACAGCATTATACAATACTGTTCCAGCTTACATACAAATTCGACTTAAGGACAGACCTTGGGAACAGAACTCGTTCTTAAACCAGGGACTACCTGTACTTCATATACTGTCACAGCAACTATTAAAGAAAGATTGAGCCCAAACAATGCTTCCTTGTGAATTTAATTTAAAAATAATAATAAAAATGACATTACAATTTGGAATTTCTTTATAGAAAAGACGCTAAACTGCAGCTACTCTTAATATACTGCGGGATAGGAACTGAGGGGATATTTTCCACAGCGATTCATTTCCAGATAAGCTTCTTTCTTACTTTCAGATTTATCAGAGAAATGGTGTTTAGAATTGTGATACGTTCATTGATCTTTGTCTATACACACACATATGGCAGAACTGATTGACTTTATCTAGGCTTGGAGTCTAAGCAGGATCAAGTCTGGTTAGTATTGGATGGGAAACCTTCAGAAATTCTCAGGCCCGTAGGCTAGATGAGGAAATTGAAGACATGGAAGATCACAGAAAAAAGCAGTGGCAACCCACTTCCATAGGGTTGCAGAGAAAACTAATTGCATCCATGGAGTCATCAGCAGTTGAGCTTGTCTTTGAGGCTCTTCACTCCAATAGAGAGCTGTCTTATCATATGCAGAGAAAAAGGAGCAGACGCAGGACTGTCAGGCCAAAACTAAAGCCACCAAACGTGCAATCAAGATCTATCTATCTATCTATCTATCTATCTATCTATCTATCTATCTATCTAGGTATCGCTATACCAAGCATGACACTTCTGGTTACAGCAGTTTCCAAATTTGTCCTTTCTTAAATATTTAGTTCAGCAACGGTAACTGGGCTGATATTAAAGATATTACATTTTTGGCTTGACGTTGCAGAAACACTGGGTAGTGCGAAGTCCACCACCTGCTTGCAGCTGGAGAATGGCAATTCAGTAAGCAGAACGTGTCGAGCTTTGTATGATTACCACACAGAAAGAGAGGATGAGCTTTGCTTAAGTAAAGGTAACATTTCCCCATTCTAATCTCAAAAGAAGTACTAGTTAGAAAAAAGAGCTAGAAGTCAATAAAATGTAAATTGAGGAGAAAAATCAATGTGTGCTGTCCAACATATTTTTTAGGGAAGAAGGCCCATTAATATGCCATAGAACTGTTTGGGGTCATGTGGCATGGTTTGTCAATTTCAGCTGAACTTACCACAATTGATTCAATATTCAGAGCTTTTTCTACCAGTGATGCTCTTCGGTATTCCTACTGGGCCATCTCAAAGCAGCTGCCCATATTTTTATCCCCCTTACTGGATGCTAAAAATGAATGTGGAGAAAGGCTGAAGAGGTAACCAAGTTTGTACAGTACACGTCTGCCTAACATTCTGAAATTTGTGTGTCATTTCGTGCATTGCAAAATCTATGTTCTGCCCACGCCCTTGGATAATCCTTTAAAAATGCAACAAGATATGCAGGTAGAATTATCTTTGATGAGCAGTCTTGGGGTAAGAAGGAAAATGGTATGAGCTAACCATGCAAATAACTTTTTAAAAGAAACTAAACTGGAAAAAGTTTTGAACCCTGCCTCATTGTAACTGCATGACTCTAATAATAATTATCTCAATGACAAATGACTGATCTTCAGAAAATAACAGGTTTAAAAGGTTTAAAATAACAGCTATCCTAAGATTGCCAAATTAAAACCCAAGGGGAAAAGTTGTGGATTCCTTATTATTATAACTACATGGAAGAATCACCACATTTTTTGCAGGTGCTTCACTGATCAAAGATAAACAGCTTTTAAAAAGATGGATATCTATGCATAAGGAAACCACCCAGGGATTTAAGAAACTGAGTTGATATTGCAAAAGGACTGGCCTACAACGAAAGGGTACTAAAAGCAACTGTATGTCTGTTGTGGTAGAGCTTTAGAATCAAGCACGGCATAAATTTGTTGAACAGTGTGGCTGCTGATTAAGCTCTGAACCAGAGAAATGGAGTGAACTTTATGCAGAAAGTTCAAAGAGTGGACCATTTTTCCTAACCCGGCTCCAAACCTGGAAGCTGTGCGTCTTGGTCTTCTTCCTAAGTACATGCAAGATGTGCTTGGGAATAGTTGTCTTGTTTGGAGGCCTGTAGAGAGAAGGGCTTCTATACATCTGTCTTCCACTGGCTGGTAGATACTGCCCCATGCATTAGATTAAATAAAGACACGACATATTTAAGTAAATATGAACTTGCTTGTATTATCCTTTTAGGTGATGTAATTGTAATTCATCACAAAGACAAGAATGGCTGGTGGTATGGTTCTAGAAATGGGGAAAAAGGCAATTTTCCTGCTACGTATGTGGAAGAAGTCACTCTCTCGGCTGACAGGAGTGATGAAGAATCTTCTCTTTAAAAAGAAAATGAAAAATAACCACACAGATATGGATAGCAAGTTCAACTGACATGTTTCTATGCTCACAATGGAAGCCAAACAATAATTTTCTCTATTTATAAGAAGCTATGAAACTGAAATTTGATGAATTATCATTGTAACAAAACAATGAGAGACAACAATTAAATCCTTTTCAAATGATACTAACTATTAAATCATCATATTAACTTGTCATTTAATGAGTTGTTGGGAGAAGATCTTTGCAATGTAATGAAAGGGAAACTGACATTTATTTCTGAAATGCAAGAGGAAGCCAATTTACCATAGGCTATTCATAAACTGAATTGCCATGACATAGCCAAATTCCACACAAGTGCTTTATGAGATCCATAAGACTTTAGAAGGACATGAAGATAATAGCATCCCTATTGCAAAGCTGAGTACACCAGAAATTTGTTCTGCCAGAAGATACAAGACCTCCAATTTGCAAATATATTCCCTTTTTAAGATGAGAGGCCCCTAGATACTCTTCTGCCTCATGATGAGGTAGGGTCAATCATTCGATAGATAACCTGTAACTATTTCCTAATTCTATTATGTTATAGTTAGATATGTTACATTTAAATCCTACCTTTCTTTCAAGAGTTATGTGCAGCATACCAGATTCTCCGCCCACACCTCTTGTATTCTCACAACCGCCCTCTGCCTAACTTGTAAGTCTCAGGGGCAGGCCCCAGGTTCTGTACAACACTCAAAAGAAGAGTGGGGGTATCGACCTAAGTTCCCACAGTCCTAGTCCAAGACCCTCAAGTAGTTACAAGGCTTTTATTCTTCCTAAATAACAAGAGACAAAATAAGAAGGCAGATTTAGAGAAAAAGCAGTGCATTATTGGTATGTCAAAGCAATGAAGGCTTTTCTAACGTTGGCAATAAATGCAGAGAAATTGTTGGTTTCTCTCACTTTCCGCTGCAGTTCTTCTATGCAGTCCAAGGGAGGAGAACAAGAGATCACTAGGAAGAAACAGTGATTTTTTTTTAAATTAAAATAAGACATCCTAACATGGCATGCTACATTTGGACATATTTTGTCATAAAAGTCACAAAATGACATCACCAGGAATATCCTGCATTCACTTCTCATAATTTTCTACCCCAGCATAAGACCAAGAAGCACTTCTGTTGGCAGTTTGACCCTGGCTTCTTATCATCAGCTATCGCTTATAATTGATGGTGAAGGTTTTAAGTTTTCTTGGTGGATTTTATTGAAATGCATTATTCTATAAATTCTATAATAAAAGAGCCAATACATTCTATCGCTCCAGGACCTTAAGAAGACTGGGGTGTCCTTTACCATTGCTTCTAATAGCTGCTAGATAAGTGGCCGCTGATAATCTGCAATGTGGAAGCCACAGAACGGATAGCTACAATAACTGTGCAAATCATTCGGAGGAGGTCTCTGATTGTGAACGTCCTGCAAAAGAGTTTGCTGTTCATGCATATACGTGTCCAGATGGCCTGGAGAGGCTCCTGAAGCAGCTGCGCTAGAAGATCCCAAGGATGCAATCACCTTGGTGCCTTGCTTGCAGCACTGTGACATTCAACAGACCCTTCCGTACGATTTGCACAACCCTGGTGCCTCCACACTGTACAAGACCAGACTTCAGTGGGTAAAAAAGGGGAGCAAATCTTCAAGCCACATGGTCTTTTTCAGGCAGGAATGAGATAAGAAGCCAAAACAGATCTCATGCAGAGCTGCCAAAACAAAGTTTTAAATGTTTTAAGCCCAGCATTACTGGGTAGAAGGCAGGGAAGTTCTCCAACGTGGGACATAAAAATGTAACCTGACCTATAAACTATTAAGTTCTTCAAGCCCTGTAGAAAAATCATGGGAAAAAATGGGACAAGCTGCCAAGAGAAAGATATAATAAGGTAAAAACTGAGAACTACATTCTTAAAATAATCATTCCAATAGCAAAGGCCTTTTAATAGGATGGAGAGGTGATCGGAAGGAGCACGTGTGAGTTTATTTTGATATAAAAGAAATAGGAAAATAAGACATTGCTGGAAGCTCCATACATACCTTCATATGCTCCCTCTTCATTTATGGAAAGAGTAAGCGTGTATGGCTTTTCAAAATCTTTTTGATCAATGCAGCGGAATACAAATTGCAAATGCTTATCTAGGTGCAGAAATAAGAACGTATTAAAGCACAGGTACGCCAGATACAATTAATTTGTACGTTATTTCAGTTGTACTGCCATTTTATAAAGTCTTAAACGTTTACTGCTTTATTCTCACATTTAAAGAAATTACTTGCAGTGGATGTCTAAATAGTGTAGGAAAAGGGGTGGAAACGGCAAACTGTTCTCTGGGGAGGCGTTGACCAATCACAGCCCCTGGTTCATTTGCTTTCCATCTTGAGAAGGGCTCCTCTTAATCATTTATAAAGGATCAGCGGGAATACATAACACAAGGTTGGGCTATTGTGTGTTGTTGCTTTTTTTTTTAAACCCTAACCCTG